AATGGTTTTTATCCCAGGCAATCTTTAATACATAAGATTTCCCTTTTCCATCATATATATGTCTTTTGAATGCAGGAGTAACATATGACCATGAAGTCTGGTGATTGGAGTGAGAGTGGTCTGGAGAAGAACTGTTATTAGGAGAAGAGAGTCAACAATATTATCATTATTCTGATTAAGACTTCACCTTGGTTGATGAAATGCCAGTCACGACAACAGACATCAGCCCTTCTCAGACCAACTCTCACACTGATAATCAGACTAAAAGTTTAAATACCTGGATTTCTTAAAGAACCAAGCAATTAATAAAAATTACAGCTTCAGAATACTGCGTAAGGCTTTGAGGATTTTCTTAGGATTACAAAAATTGGACATTAGTGAACATATGTATGAAAAAACAGTGATAAGTGAAGCATATCAACAAGCACCAACTACCAAATACTTGTCTCTAGGTTGATTGTATCTATAATGCTGTGAAGAGATCTACCTCTTTGGATAAGTCTCTAAATGTGGAGATACTTTTGGAGCACACCCGAGGATCCAGAGGAGAGCACAACTCTAGAACCATGCTCCTACCACTGATACAGAGCTTCAGTCCTTCCATCAAGGTGTCCCTGTATCATTCACCCAGCCTCAGAGGCCTGCTAAAGCTGCTTCTTCCTGAGAGGTTTAATGAGACAGTGGCCCTGACACATCTTAAGGTGTATCTTACTGATGACACTTTGATTATGAGTGGGTAAGTTCCTGTATTAAAACAAGACTAAGAGGCAGATAAGTTAACCCTTAAAATCCCATCAGTGACCAAGACAGAATTTCTCCTTACAATATCAATACAATATCAAGTATGCAAGTATGCAAGAATAATGAAAAATGTGTAGTAGGGGATTATTAGTTGATTCAATTCCAAATTCTCCAAACTAAAATCATAACAATTGTACAGCAGACAGTAAGGAGAAATACTAATAAGATCTGAGGGTGAAAGGGTTAAAGATGAAACATGTACATGAGAGATGCAGTCTGTCATTCATTAAATTAATGTTATTAGTTTATCAGATTGTCAATTTAAATTCAATCTGCTAGTCATTCTCTCACTCCATCTCCTAGTACATGCTTATATCTTCCTTAGAGCTAACCTGAGTGCAGAGTATTTCACCAACCGTCAGGACCGCTACATCGAGATCAAGAATTGTCCTCAGTTGGCAAACTTTTTTCATAGCCTTGTTTCTACTGTTCGAGCTTTCTCACTTCAACTTCAACCAGATAACACCACAAAAATGGGAGAAAACTTTCCTCTTCATCCAACTAAAGGATTTGATGGCGGAAATAAATTCAAGGCTGAAGCAGGAAGGAGGGTGTCCAAGTTCTTGCAGAACCAAAAAGAAAAGAACAATTGCAGCGATTTATTGAGGACACCAGACCAGGTTTGTGATACCTGGGTTGTTCCTTTGGTCCAAATGTTTCCATTTGGCATTCGTCAGGATGAGGTTGTCACCAGCAAGTTACTGAGTCATGCACCTCAAGCTAGCAAGCTATTCTTAGCATCAGGGTATTTTAATTTAACAAGAAAGTACAGGAATATTATTTTAAAGTCACCTGCCAAATGTGAAATACTGACAGCGCACCCGACTGTGAATGGTTTCTACCAAGCTAAAGGAGTGGCTGGTAGGTATAGGTTAAATAGTCCCACTCTAAAAGATTATAACTTAACTGCACAGATTCTGTGTACAAGTTACAGTGTAGTAATGGTAACAGAACTAATTGGAGTCCAACTCTGCCTCTAATCAAAACTTTATTGAAATTCCGGAACATGATTGGTTATCATCAGTCCAATTTAAGCATTAATAGGACAGGGTTTGTATCGCGCTGTTACACATTTCACCTAGTTAACTGTAAGTTGCTTTTTTATGAAAATGTCAAGTTTATTTCTCAAATTTGTCATAGTTTTGATTAATTGGTAACATGACTTCATGTCATCCAATTCTGTCTGTAATCATAATCATGATCAACAAATGGTACTCCCACTTTGTAGTAGTCTGATTTTCTGACCTGGTTTAAGGAATTAATTCAATTCTTAGAGTTCAGTTTAATGACAGATTTGTGTGTGCTCATTAACTTGCCAAGTTAAATAAAGTAAGTCGGACAAAATGGAAAAAATAGGTAAATTCAGACCTGTGTAGCTCAAATTGATAAACATCTTATTTGTTTATGGTGTTTCTATACTTACAGAATATACTATTACCTTCTTCTTCTTATTTTTTTTTTTTGGTGTGGTCTGAAAATTACGAAAAACAATTCCAAATGACATGTAAAAATTGTATACAGTCAAAACTGTATCAAGCTGTCACCCATGGGGAATGGCAGGATGATAATAAAGAATGATAAATAATGCTATTTAATGCCATCATCATAAAAACTTGCTAAAAAAATACTATCATTAATTTCAGAAGAGAAAGGTGTATAAAATTTTACATGAAAGGTTATTCCTAGTTTTATCTGAGTGGTTCTGCTCAAAGTGATTGTTCAATACAGATGCAAGACAATTCAACAGGCCATTGGCATCACTCAAAGGCAACCATGACTGCCTATTAAAGGTCTCAGCTAAATAGGCTTGAAAATTGCAGTGATTAAGGGAAGACAAATTCGAAACTTTCACAACCAACCACTTAATATGGGGCAGCTTAGTAGAGGTTCGACTGTTTAAGGTTTCAAAAAACCTAAAATTGCATGCAGTCAGTGTCCTAACAGTCAACTTCCTTTTCTTTCAGGTGGTATTCCTCATGCTTACACCCTCTTAGCACAAGATTTTTACAAGCAAATTTTGGAACACAAGCAAGCTGATAACATCTTGGTACAAGAGTATATACGTCACAAGTGGACATTTCATGTGAAAGGACTGTGGTACTACCCTCCAAATGAGCCTCTGCCTAGCTTAACCCTGATTGGTTCCCCAAATTTTGGACATCGTTCAGTTTATCGAGATTTAGAGGCTCAGGTTGCCATAGTTACAGCCGACCAAGATTTAAGGGAAGCACTTCACGAGGAGAAGACTCACCTTTACAGCAGAGTGCAGCAGGTCACCTGTGAGACATTTGAACAATCTGAACGTAAAATACCAATGTGGGTATATTGTGTAACAAGATTAATAAAGAATCTTCTGTAACACTTGTCTCTTTATTTTGGTTTGCACACAACAAATCCATTTTTATAAATGATGAAGGACTCAGCATGTGGCCGTGAATGTATATAGTAGAGTGCTAGGCATAAACAAATTGAAAGAACTTCTGTTAGTGCTCTGCAAACCTTGAAATATCATTTGTTGGGTGAGTAAGAAACCTATTTTTGGGTTTGCAGACAAGTTGGTGTTATCAATGAATGAAGGAGTTTGGTTTGATGTTGTTTCAAGTCTTCAGGGTCGTAAACAGTGGGAATGCAGCTACCACTTGTCAGGCATGTGAGAAATTATCCTAAATTCAGCTGTTTTTGTGGTCTAAGTGTAGTAACTTGCCTGTCATTATTATTCAGACTCAAATAATATTGAATAACAGGAGCCAACCTTAGAAATTTAATAATTCTACAAAGTTTATTAAAACTTATGGGAGATGCAATATTGTCATAATTACTGGAAAGATTGCACACAGAGTAATCTGATTCCAATAAGATGCCTAAACCTTGTACTACCTCACCTCAGTACAAGAAATAATGGAACAAATTTTGTTTAAGCCACAAAAACGAAAAACGGTACCAGATAAAATATGCATGATGCAGACCCTATTTCTTTAAATCGTAGCATAGCTGTACATCTTCTCTATAATATGTTCTAAGAACCCTTCAAGCTGCATGCTCCCCAGTTTCACCACATTTATCAGTTCTTTAGAACAAAAATACACAGTCACAGCCATTCCATAATTTCTTGAGCCTACAATGTGTGTAACTAACTATTGGATAAGCCAGCTCAAGTTTTACTTAGGTCTGATCAAGTCCACAGTTAATTAATAATCTACTATTTAATAGCAGCTCTTTTTAGTTAATTGTAAAAACAAATCTTTCCAGTTTTTGGAAGTACTTATAAGTTTAACACTTGCTATATTTATAGAGTTGAAATGCAAGAACACTCTTAATGAACTCATTAACTCCTAGACACCTGCAGTTAAAAGGGTTGGTGCCAAGGAGAGTTTGTGCTCTTCCGTTCCTAAATTGTACTAAAAAATATAAAAAAATTGTTCATTACCAGTAAATATTTTACATGAAAATCAGTACTCTTACATTTAACAATAATCTTGTTGCTTCACTCACAGTTTACTTTTGGCAAACTTAAAATCATTTTTTTCTTAATTAAGTACTTTCCAAGCAGAGAATGGCAAAATGTTGACTTAAGAAAAAAAAAATTATTTAAGTTAAAGCTCTCTGAGGACACTCTTTTTAGGGGATAGCTCTTAACTCATAGGTTACTGGACAAGATTCCTTGATTTTTATGAAAATTGTGTACAACACCAGATGTAAGGGGCCTGACCTTTATGTAGAAACATGTTCTACTTCCTGATAATGTTCACTCACTAAAAGTTACAGGCATCAACTGTTTTTAGTTGCAATGCAAGTGCATTATGTTTCAAGTTACATAAAAAACTAGGACCTCTTTTTAAATTACCAACTAAATTTAGGTTAAAATAATCATTCAGGCACTTTGAAACAACCCCTTTCACTTTGTAACATTTTTTGACGTCATGTACTAACAAACAGATCTGTGACCACAATTAATGAAAAATTGATCAGCTGATAGATAGAACTGACTTACATGTATATGCATGGAAGTTCAGTAGGAGGATAATCATGAACATCAAATGATAAAAGTGAAAGGGTTAAAACTGAATAGAATGTTTATCACATGTATGTTTCCCTAAAAATTATCCTAAAATCACACAACTGCCAGAGTTCTTTTATGATCTTTCCACATACACAGATATGTTTTAAAGACTCTAAGCAAGTCATGAGACTGTGCTGAACTAACCAATCATCTCAAATTTTACCAGCAGGGTATCATTCTTGGTGTACTGTGGCTGACAAATCAGCTCAATGGGGGCAAATTTTGGGTAACCCAATCCATAGTAGTTGTGCGGTGCCTCTGGTCTTTGACTTGCTTTCCATTTAGGTTCAGCCACCAGGGTTTTGCTGATATCATGATGCTCCCCTTCATCTCCAGATTGATTCAAGATGGACAATCTGAACTTTTTAGCAAATGGCCATTGTAAGAAATCATCGTGATCATCTCGCATCAAATGAATGAACAACGCCACGTGTTTACCAACACCATCATCAACACCATCATCTACACCATTCATGTTGATTCGCATGCACAGGTTGTACCCGCAATGCAGACTGGTGTAAAATGGTGGGCTGTACTTTGTTGGGCTTGTTCCACTGATGGCATCTTGGTAACAATCTCTGAACTTTTCTATTCTCCAGGTATAAGTTCCATTGCAAAAACGTCCTGCTTGCTTCCTCAACCTATAATTTTAATTGGGAGAAGGAAAGTTGTTGCTGTTCATGAAAAAAAAAAGTCAAAGTCAAGGTCACTCTTTTAAACTCAAGATACATGTAGCACAATAGATAGAAACTCAGACTGTGATGCTCCTGCCTCATGGATGTTCGATTTATTTTAAGTCAGTTTAAGTTGTACCAAAAGAAAGTGAAATATTGACAAATTCAGGGACTGATTATTGGAGATAGTGTTCGAAAATTTAGCTTCCCATGCTAGTTTCCCAAGAGTGATCATTAATTCTCCAGCTCTCAGCAAACTTACATAATTTCTTGTTCACGCAGTGGTGTCTCAAGTCTCATTTGTGCTTCTTTTGTCTCCTTCAATTGGCATTCCAGAAGATGAACCACATTACTGAGCTGGGTATAACGATTCTTTAGTTCCTCTAATTCACTTTGCTGCAGTTGGGTCAGCCTTCCTTCCTGGTCTTCTTGCAGTTGAGGAAAGTTATTTCCATTGTCACTCTCTGACTTGTATTTCAAGCAGTTGCCAACATGACTAGAAAGCTCCTCTGTAATATGTTTGTGGACATCAGATCGTAGGCCCTGTAAAATGAAAGAGTCTGTGAGACAGCTCACTGATGAAGTGGTGCATTTAAGTAGAAAGATCATTGTGAGAGACAACACACAAATGCATTTATGTAGGGCTTTCACAAGCCAAGGAAGGAAAATTATTCAATACAGAGGGAGAGAGGAGGGCAGGTGCCTGAGAGAACAGGGGGAAGTAGAGGGTAGGAAACAAGATCTGTCTGAGAGCAGGAGCTGCAAACAGAAATTCAAAAGACACTAGTTTGTTGTTCATCACTGCCTATCATCTAGTCATGCACTGGTACCCAGCAAAGTTCTCTGACTTCCATTTAATGACCGCCAAGGTGTAAAATAAAACTTTATAAGCCAGAAAGCAAAACTTTTTTCTCATGTTGAAAAGAATGGGTGAATACTGGTGAAATTGGATACCTATCAAAGTTAGTATTTCTAGTAAGTCATGAATGAATTTGTTAGTATCTTGTGAACTGTAACAGTCAAAATTCTCCAGTGAACAAGTCTAAATGAGTTCGTAATTTCATTTGTTTATACATACAAGTATTTCATGCTGGGGGAAGCCACTAAGTTTGTAGGATGCAATACATTCTTACTATCACAATGTCAATGAGATTTGTGAATAGCATAATGCCCCGCAATGGATATGAAATTAGTGAAACTAGATAAAAGGAATTAGAAATGAGTGCTGAACTCTTAATATTATGTTAGCCTTTTCAGTTTCATTTCTAAACAGCACAATCCCAGTATCTTGGGGATTCCTAAATGCAAGTAAATACACATTTGAAACTAATGTAACAATTATAGCTATTTGATGGCACAGTGGACTTAAAATTTCTTCTCTAAAGTGAATTGTTTGTCAAACTGTGATATCCAGGTCAGTGAAAACTAGTGTGTAATAATGTTCATCTTGAGAAAATTACCTCCCCTCCCCTGAAAAAATGCAATACCACAGAATGGTCAAGAATAATATGTTTTAGCACAGCTTGCCAATAACCCAGGTTTCTGATCCTTTTTACTGACCTGAAGATGGGAGTGATACAATGAAGGGCAGGAGCTCAGAGAGGCAGATGGGCACAAAAGTACAGGAGGCAGGAGAATGTGATACAGGAAATGGGAGGCTGTGACCCCCTATATCTCTTCCCCTCCCCCCCTCCCCCCCACCTATTTACTGATAAAACCCTGCATCATTGAGTGTCAAATAATTGTTGGCAAAGATAAGTGTCAATCATGTGAAGGCCTTTAAAAAGTTATGGGAACACACTGATTAATTTTTAAACTTAGGGGTCTTGCTTTTTAGCTGTGGTAAGTATTAAATCCCTGAGAGCTCAAGACTTCATGCTAACAATCAACATGAAAGAGGAAGGAAAATTTCAAAGTGAGTAACATTAATATGACTTGGATGACAAACAAAATTTAACCCAACATGGAGAAATTTATTTCATCTCTGAGAGTATTCATGTTTGGTAACTTGAACAGCTCCACCATGGGCATTTCATGCTTGTAATTTAAATTGTTTAAAATTCCTTCTTTCTTTTACAAAACCAGTCAGTTGTCTACTTAAAAGTGATTTCTTTCAAAAATGTTTTCTCTTTTTTTGTTTCCTATTTTAAAAATAACAGCAAGAACAATAACAACCAGAGAGAGGGTAACCCCTCAAACATTAATTAATTTTGGTAATTATATCTAAAATACAGATGTTATTTTTTCAATATATAATTGCATAACAAAGAGGATCCTTGAAATCTGAATGGCCATTGTCAAAAAGCCTGACTGTGTGACTTGCAAGCAAAACAATCCAAACATGAAACCACATCTGTCAATACATGACAAGTCAAAACAAACAGTATACTGCAGCCCAAAACATTTTATTTATTTTGAAGCAGCCATATACTCTTTACCTTTTTTGCATTACACAAATGTGTCATCTATGTTTGATTAAAATATATCTATAAATAGAAAAACAGTTTAAACAATGTTTTTCCTTGTTTCTATAGTATTTCTATGGTCCTTCTATACGTGAATATCACAAGGCCACATACATAATTATTCAAATAAATACCTCAAATGAGCATCCAGAAGTGTGTAGGGGGCATTTAATTCTCACATTTACACACACTCGTTCCAAGTGGTATTCCATCTAGTAAGGCAATACATAATAATATCAGAACCAAGGATATTTGCTTTAATCAATAGAAACTAGAGTCTATGCACAATATTTTATTGTACAATTATAAAGAATTATAAAAGGTAGGATGTTCATTAATCTCATTAAAGAGATTAAGGATAAGATAGACATTTGCGGGTGTCCTTTGCAAAAAATTTTTTAACATGCTACTTGAAGCATACCACCGCAAAGCATGGATATATATCTCTAAAAAGGTTGTGAAATGTACTATTTGGCAAAAATTATTTCTTTTTAGCTTGATCTAATCGTGAACCAAATGGGTTATCACAATTCAAAATGGACAATGTTTCTTCAAGCAAATTGATCACATATCAAACTGACTGCTCAAGTAAAATCCTCTGCACAATTTCAATCCCGAGGGGTTGGTCTTGAAAAAAATCTGGGAATTTTTTAAATTCTGACTGGTTGCTTTGCAATTTACCTGAGTTGCAACAACCATGTTGTATAATAACTTTGATAACACCAAAGTAATAGATAAAGGAAACTTTCAAATTCAAACAGAATTCATGATGCAGTGCGTCTGTTCAGTTATAGATCACAGATGACATCCAAATGTGTAGGATCATCCTGCAGTGACACTCTCAGCTCTGCCTTGCCTACCACTTTTTTCCTCTTACCATGTCCTCATGATGTCATCTATGGTCTATTACTGAACAGATGCACTGCAACATGGAATCTGTTTGTGATAAATGGAAAGTACACGACTTTACAACTGCTGCCACCAAATGAATGCTGGGATTGGTCAACCCTACACCAGGTCTCTCAAAAGGCATGTAGTTTCTCAAATGTTATAAAAAGTGTATGTTTGCAGACCTCCTATTGCTCCATGACGGGCTGAAGAGAACAAATAACAAACCAAGATATCCTGTATTAGTTGCAAAAATTTAAATAAAATGTGTTATTTACAGTTTGTGGTTGTTCATGACATTTTCAGCTTCCATCACAGTTGTTGTATCAACATTGTCTTGATGCACAATCCCTCCTTTTTTTTCTCTTCTTTGCTCAACTTTGTTATGGACCTCTGCCCCATGAACCCAAAAATTGGGAATTTAAGAGGTTAAAATTTTGTAACTTGTACCAATGTCTACAGTCATTTTCACCTGCCTACACAGACCAATGATCTCCTCAGCCCATGAACTCCCCAAAGGGCTGAAGAGGAAAGAAAAAGGTTTGCACACAACAACAACAAAGATTAAAAGCATGGGTGAACTACAAGCCCCTGAAGGGACCTGGTACTGGGTTGGCCATGGTTAACTTAGCGTAGATGTGGGTCAACGTGCTAGAACATGGCTAACTTAGGGTAGATGTGGGTCAACGTGCTAGAACATGGTTAACTTAGGGTAGATGTGGGTTAACGTAGTAGAACATGGTTAACTTAAGGTAGATGTGGGTTAACGTGGTAGAACATGGCTAACTTAGGGTAGATGTGGGTTAACGTGGTAGAACATGGCTAACTTAGGATAAATGTGGGTTAACGTGGAAGAACATGGTTAACTTAGGGTAGATGAGGGTCAACGTGGTAGAACATGGTTAACTTAGCGTAGATGTGAGTTAAAGTGGTAGAACATGGTTAACTTAGGGTAGATGTGGGTTAATGTGGTAGAACATGGCTAACTAAGGGTAGATGTGGGTTAACGTGGTAGAACATGGTTAACTTAGGGTAGATGTGGGTTACCGTGGTAGAGCATGGTTAACTTAGGGTAGATGTGGGTTAACGTGGTAGAACATGGTTAACTTAGGGTAGATGTGGGTGAACGTGGTAGAACATGGCTAATTTAGGGTAGGTGTGGGTTAACGTGGTACAACATGGCTACCTTAGGGTAGATGAGGGTTAGTGTGGTAGAACATGGCTAAATAAGGGTAGATGTGCGTTAACGTGGTAGAACATGGTTAACTTAGGGTAGATGCGGGTTAACGTGGTAGAACATGGTTAACTTAGGGTAGATGTGGGTTAACGTGATAGAACATGGTTAACTTTAGATAGATGTGGGTTAACGTGGTAGAAAATGGTTAAATAAGGGTAGATGTGGGTTAACGTGGTAGAACATGGTTGACTTAGGGTAGATGTGGGTCAACGTAGTAGAACATGGCTATATTAGGGTAGATGTGGGTTAACGTGGTAGAACAAAGCTAATCTAGGGTAGATGTGGGTTAACGTGGTAGAACATGGTTAACTTAGGGTAGATGTGGGTTAACGTGGTAGAACATGGTTAACTTAGGGTAGATGAGGGTTAACGTGGTAAAACATGGTTAACTTAGGGTAGATGTGGGTGAATGAGGTAGAACATGGCTAACTTAGGGTAGATGCGGGTTAACGTGGTAGAACATGGCCAAATTAGGGTAGATGTGCGTTAACGTGGTAGAACATGGTTAACTTAGGGTAGATGCAGTTTACGTGGTAGAACATGGTTAACTTAGGGTAAATGTGGGTTAACGTGAAAGAACATGGTTAACTTAAGGCAGATGTGGGTTAACGTGGTAGAAAATGGTTAAATAAGGGTAGATGTGGGTTAACATGGTAGAACATGGTTAACGTAGGGTAGATGTGGGTGAACATGGTGGAACATGGCTAATTTAGGGTAGATGTGGGTGAACGTGGTGGAACATGGCTAATTTAGGGTAGATGTGGGTGAACGTGGTAGAACATGGCTAACTTAGGGTAGATGTGGGTTAACGTGGTAGAACATGGCTAAATTAGGGTAGACGTGGGTTAACGTGGTAGAACATGGTTAACTTTGGGTAAATGTGGGTTAACGTGGTAGAACATGGTTAACTTACGGTAGA